CAGTACATTGCATCCTGGACATCCTTATCTTCAGTGACCTTCACCTTGGCTTCTTCTCTTTTTCTCCATGGATCTTATCATCACTCAAAGATGTTCCACTTCTGGACTCCTAAATTTTGACATTGTTTTGTTTTGATTTGGTTTGTTTTTTGAGGAACATACCCACTGTTTTTCAGGACTTTGCTTGCGTGTCACTCCCAGCAGTGCTTAGAGGACCAGGTTATGCCAGGTATTCAACTGAAGTCATCAAAAATGTGTGTTAGGCCATCTCCCTGGCCTCTGATATATATCACAATTTCTTCTGTTATCACTCACCACATCTTTTCTAGCTTCTTGAGTCATCTAGAGTAGACCAGCTCTGGCTGATAGAACTTTTGTGATGATAGTTTTTTATGGTTTTACCCACGTTATTTTTAACTTCATTTCATTCAAACTAAAATGAAAATAGCTGTATGCAGTTATTCGCTATGGTGTTGAACACTGCTGTAGATTCTGACTTCTTTCCATTAATGCCCTCCACTTCTCTAGCTTTATCTTAATGGTCCATCATATTTTCTTCTTTTTTTAATACCCAGTGGTGCTCAGGGCTTACTCCTGGTTTTGTGCTCAGAGATCACTGCTGGAAGGGCTGAGGGTACCACATATCAGGTGCCCAGGTCAGCTGCATGCAAGGTAAGTGCCCTACCCTCTGTACTATCCAACCCTGGTCATCATATTCTTATCCTTCTGTTCCACCTCATGGAAACAAATTCTCAATTCTGGGTTAATCTAATTGTTCTGCTCTCTTTAGGTCCTACTGAATATTATTAGGAAAGGTGGAAGTCTCATGACTTTGTTGTCTAGCATTTTCCTCCCACAGATGATCACCAACCTCAGTAGGACTTTGCATTATGTCCAGCAAGCATTATCCTCTTCTCTGCAGTGACCTAGGAGAGATGTCCCCCATTCTCTAAATTTCAGTGTCACCCTCACTCTCTGAAGTCCACTGAAACAAGAGATGCTTTCAGACTACTTGACCACCAATTTTACAAGACTAGTTTTATGTCTTTAACCACTCTCCTTCTGCCAGCTGCTTCCTGCCAACATTCAGCATGCTCAAATAGCCTTGTCTTTAAACAACAATAAAAAATCCTGACCTTCCCTCCATTCCATGTCACCTTCTACCAATCACCCTGGCTCATTCTTACCGCTTGTTTTCACACTTTTGAAAGTTGTCCACACTTGCTATCTCTACTTTCTCACCTCCCACTTACTCTATAACCTGAGGCAGTCTGGCTTCTGTCCCCACCACTCCTGCCACTGCTAGCCAAGGTCACCATTGACTTCTCTGTGATTGAACCAAAGGATTGTTTCAGATCTTATCTTGACCTTGAAGGCACTTTACATGATCTCAATTTCCCCCCCTCATCCTTCCACCTGCTCCCTGTTTCTTGGTTTCTAGTACACCAAAATTTTGTTTTCCTCCCCTTACTCTGCCTACTCTTAAGTTCTTGAAACCACCACATTCTCTTCTTCCTAGGGCCCATCCGTTGGAGTCTGATAGCTGAAGTTGGTTGCCAAGAATGGCAGCTCCCCTTCCTGACACTTTCCTCGAAGAAGAAACATTTGGGAATTTGCTTTCTCACCCAAGAGTCTCACTCATGTGATTTGAACTCCTATTTGTGTGGTTGGATCCTGCTGCTCAGAGCCTGACATGTCTTTACCAGTTTGTATTTACAGCCCCCACTCTGCCAGGCTCTCACAACACTGGGACATCTGTGTTTTTCATTTGTGCCTTCAAAAGGCGGTATGTTCTAGGAAAGGACACTGACAAATTGGAAGTCACTGGGAGAAACTGTGGAGTAGTCAGTAAACAATGACCCATGTGAGATCATTAAGACTAGAAACACTTTGTCTGGAAGAGAGAAAACAGAAATAATAGAGAGCTGATTTAAACATTTGAAGAGAAAGAGTCTTGATCTGTGTTGTTATATGGGATTAAAATTCAGCTAACTAAAGAAGTGACAGGGGAGTGAGAGCTAACATGAGTTTTGTGTCCAGGAATGTTATGGACCTGGAGGATACAAGGTGAGACAGATCTGCTCACCAAGAATTGAGATGATCACAATAAAAGTGGAAAGTGCTCCCACTCCTACTGAAGACCTCTGACCTGTGCTCAGCTGGCAATGTAGAGAAGCTGCACTCCAGAAGTGCAGTTATAGAGTTGCTACCAAGCAAGATTTATCAAGATCCATTTTGTTGGGGTCAGAGAGATGTGTCTCAAGGGTCTGGTACGAATGGTTTGTTTGCATCAGGGTACCTCAGGTTTTGTTCCCAGGGTCAATTCTGAGTGACATGAATGCCAAGCTATTGAGCACAGCCCTAAAACATACAACACACAAGCACACACACAGAGTTGACAAAAACAAAAGAAAAATGCCTAAAGAGCACTAGATGAATCAGTCTTATAGGCTCTTCAAAATATACCTAAGACTGATGCAATGAACTGGGCTCCCTGACTTGCCTCTTTCAGATCCATCTTTGCCAAACTGTCTTTTCCCTACTTGTGCTTTGGTGCAATGCCATCAGATTATATGGTGGGTTCTCATGAAACTGCCCTGTGTTGCTCATTGTGGATACTGTTCCAGGGACGTTGTTGAGGATGTTTGGTCATTACCTCATACTGTGTTCCTTTTATGAGGCCCACCAGGAGAAATTCCTGTCTGATTTTAGTACCAAGAATAGTTGTAATTTTCTTGAGTAATGGGTTTGTTTTTTTATCTTTTGGACACTGAGAATTGTGTAACTGATGTGGTCTTCTTTTCATTTTGGCTGCAGGGGAAACTAAAGGACATTTTTTTGTGGCCCACCCACAGGACATGAATAGGACTTTCCAGGGAGGCGTTTTAGCTTTATTCCTACTCTACGTAGTCTTTTCTGTTATTTTTTTCTTTCTTCTCCTAGGTTTCCTTCTTGATTCATAAAGCCAAGAACATTAAAGCAAAAATAAATTAGAATCACCTGTAATTAACTACCCAGTTAATCCATTAACCATAATTAACAATGTTATCTTTTATGCATGCTTTAAAATTTATTTAAAAGAGAGTGCACTATGCATAGGATTTTTGAATAATGTATTATAATCTTCTTTGTATTATTTTATAATATAAATATCTCTATATAATTAAATGTTCTTTAAATCATTTTAAATCTCCATGAAGAGTTAGTAACTTAATATTAATAACTACCATTATGGTAATCCACTTACCAATATGTCCAGCCTTATATATTTATGTACATAAGAGTAAAAGAACATTCATACAGATTATATAAATGCAACATGTATGTGTACATATTTAATTTACACTATTCATATATTTTGCTCGAGTGGGCCCAGTAACATCTCCATCAGGAGACTTGTTGTTACTGTGTTTGGCATATTGAATACGTCACGGGGAGCTTGCTATAGCACAGCGGTAGGGCATTTGCCTTGCACGCAGCCAACATGGCAGACCCGAGTTCGATTCCTCGGTCCCTCTCGGAGAGCCCGGCAAGCTACCGAGAGTATCTCGCCCGCGTGGCAGAGCCTGGCAAGCTCCCCGTGATGTATTCGATATGCCAAACACAGTGACAACAAGTCTCCTGATGGAGATGTTACTGGGCCCGCTCGAGCAAATTGATGAACAACGGGAGGACCGTGACTACCGTGATTCATATTTGATGTTCACGGTCCTTTAAAGTAGACATTATTGTTCCCCCCTTTTCTATGAGGAAACCAAAGTAAAGTAAGATGCAAAACTCACCAGTGCCATACCCTGGCTTCAAAGTGTGTGCTGCTAGTGGCTAGTTTGTCTTTCAGTGCACTATTGGTAATCTACGGTCCACGGTAGTTAAACATTTTGCTAATCTTCATTTCACTTTTGAATTTAGTCTTTCCCATGTCTCCTCTTCTTCTTTCTCTTCCTTTGTTTTGGTGCCACACTTGATGGTGCTTTGAGCATACTCCTAGCATGGTGCTCCAGAGTTACTTCTGTCATTCCTGCAGTTAGAGTTCTGGAACTACAGAATGCTCAGAATCCAGCCTAGGCCTGCTGTGTGCAAAGCATGTGCTCAATTCCTTGAGCTCAACTCACTGGCTCTATTTGTCATGTTTTAAGTACCTGAAATTCTCTGTGCTACAAAACAGAGCATAAATAAACAGGTAGATGATGGTATATGGCACAAGAATGCAAAACAACAATGCTAACCCAGGGGGAGAGGATGAATTCAAGCTGACAAGCAATGAAATAGATTTATTTCCTGGGGTTATGGTAAACTCCTATCCCTGGAAAAGCAGACCTGCGGTTTCTGTAAGGGAGGCTGGCAAAAGTATTCTTCTAAGGAAACTGCCGGGCCAGAGGAGGTCTAAGGTTCATTCTTCAATTCTCAGTTTATAAAAATGCCAATAAGGAAAAAAATGATGTGCTTCAATGAAGATATTGCAGCAAGTCAGCCTTTAGACCAGGACCAGGACCCAAGACCCTTTCAATCTAGTTTATCACTAGACTATTTAAAAGTAACAAACCAACACAAGTTGGGTTCCAAAGTCTAACCGCATTGTATTATTTTCAAAATCTTTGCTGCTTTAAGATGGTTAAAGGTTGCTTTCTTCAGTCCTTTTGTTAAGAAGGCAGAAAATAAGTCAGGGTGGCTCTGGGGTTTCCCCGTGAGACAGTAATTGCGTGGGATTATGCTTTTGAAAACAACGAGAGAAAGGAGCCCAGGTTTCTATTTATGAACTCACTGTTTACTATTAGGAGACCTTGGGCAAATTCTTTCACCTCCTGAGGACTCAGTTTTCTCATTTGCACATGCCTTCATTGCAAAGCTGTTGTGGTGTTCCCACACAGTATCCTCAAAAACGCGAGGCAGGAAGTACTCGCGCACTTGCCTGGTGGGGCGGGGGTGTGGGTGGGGGTTTGGAGAGAGCCGAGTTGCCCCCTGCAGCCCCGCCCCCCCCCGAGGTAAACAGGCCTGTCTTAAAAATTTGGGGGAGAGGAGAGACGCTATTCCTGTTAGACTCCAGGGTCTTGGGAGACAAGCAGAGTTTACGTGCTCTTTCTCTTTCTCACGATCTCTGGGTGAGCTCGTGAGCCCTTCGCGCTGTGCCACTGGGGCCAAAAGGCTGGGCTTAGCGGAAGGCCCAAGCTCGGTGCAGCAAAGAAAACAAACACAGATAATGTTCTATTGGGACCGATCGAGAGACGACCGTCCTCGCCTCCACATCTGGAGTTCTCCGGGGGGCATTAAGGCCGGGAGACACCCGTGGGGCTCTCCCGGCGGCGTGGGGCCGGGAGAAGGCTGACAGTCCCGGTCCGCCCCTCCTTTCGCTCTGGGGTGCGCGCCCGGCCCAGCCCCCTCTCCGGGGTTTCCCCGGGCGCTCTTCTCGCTTTCTCTTTGTCTCTGCTTCTCTCCCCGACCTCCCGGGTCCCACCCGCTCGCGCTCGCGCTTTCTCCGAGTCCCGGGCGGGCTCCCTTTAACTTTTCTCTTTCCCGGGGTTACAACTTCAGCTCGGAGCCGGCGGCTGCTGGCCGCAGTTATTGGCCGGCTCCCCGCCTGGCAGCCCCGCCCCCCGCCCCCGCTCGCCCCTCCGCCCCCCACTCCCGGCGCTAGCCTTCTGGGGGCGTGCGTGCGTGTGTGTGCGCGCGCCAGCGAGCGTGAGTGTGTGCGCCCCGGGCGCGGGCTGGGCAGCACCGCGAGCGCGGCCGGAGCAGCGGGAGCCGGGCGGCCGCGGCGTCACTCGGGCCAGAGAGGCGGCGGCAGCGGCCGGGCCGGGGCCGGGTTTGGGGCAGCGGCGGCCGCGCGGGGCATGGAGCTGGCGAGCCCGCGCTGAAGTGGGACGCGCCTGCGAGGAGCTGCGAGAGGCTTTCCACCGTCCGTCCGGTGCGCGGGCTCTTCGGTCCGAGCCAGGCAAACTTTTCTTTCGCGTCTGTCCCCTCCGGAGGTAAAGTCTCCAGGGTGCGGTGGCTGCAGGCCGGGAGAGACTCGGGTCCCCCGCGCTCGTCTGCGTCCGAGACTTGGGGTCCCGGGGCGGGCTGACTGCGGACCGGCACACGGGCGCGGGCATGCTCCTGGGCGGCGTGGAAGTGGCGGTGGTGAGTCCGGCTCCCTCGCCGCCAGCCCGGGGAGAGGGGCGCGGGCGGTGCCGGGGATTGCGGGCGCCCATCCCGCCCGTTCCTCCCTCTTCTTCGGGGGCGCGAGAAGGGCAGTCGGATGTGGGTTATGTGCAGGGGGAGCCGGGCACCGGCCCGCGGCCCCGCTCGCCGGGGAGCGGTAGGGTGGGGGGCGCGAGGCGGGCTGACTGAGTGCAGCTTCCCTCTCTCCGCAGGAGCCTTTTGCTGCGGGCTGACCGACTCTGCGCGGCGGGACCGTGGCAAAGCTGGACGCAGCATGATGCGCGCCGTGTGGGAGGCGCTGGCCGCGCTGGCTGCAGTGGCCTGCCTGGTGGGCGCGGTGCGCGGTGGGCCCGGGCTCAGCATGTTCTCGGGTCAGGCGGCTCAGCCTGACCCCTGCTCAGACGAGAACGGCCACCCGCGCCGCTGCATTCCCGACTTTGTCAACGCGGCCTTCGGCAAGGATGTGCGCGTGTCCAGCACCTGCGGCCGCCCCCCGGCGCGCTACTGCGTGGTGAGCGAGCGCGGCGAGGAGCGACTGCGCTCTTGCCACCTCTGCAACGCGTCCGACCCCAAAAAGGCGCACCCTCCCGCCTTTCTTACGGATCTCAACAACCCGCACAACCTGACGTGCTGGCAGTCGGAGAACTATCTGCAGTTCCCGCACAACGTCACACTCACGCTGTCGCTCGGCAAGAAGTTCGAAGTGACCTACGTGAGCCTGCAGTTCTGCTCTCCTCGGCCCGAGTCCATGGCCATTTACAAGTCCATGGACTACGGGCGCACGTGGGTGCCCTTCCAGTTCTACTCCACGCAGTGCCGCAAGATGTACAACCGGCCGCACCGGGCGCCCATCACCAAGCAGAACGAGCAGGAGGCGGTCTGCACCGATTCCCACACCGACATGCGCCCGCTCTCCGGCGGCCTCATCGCCTTCAGCACGCTGGACGGGCGGCCCTCGGCGCACGACTTCGACAACTCCCCGGTGCTGCAGGACTGGGTCACAGCCACTGACATCCGCGTGACTTTCAGCCGCCTGCACACGTTCGGCGACGAGAACGAGGACGACTCGGAGCTGGCGCGCGACTCGTACTTCTACGCCGTGTCAGACCTGCAGGTGGGCGGCCGCTGCAAGTGCAACGGCCACGCGGCCCGCTGCGTGCGCGACCGCGACGACAGCCTGGTGTGCGACTGCAGGCACAACACCGCCGGCCCGGAGTGCGACCGCTGCAAGCCGTTCCACTACGATCGACCCTGGCAGCGCGCCACCGCCCGGGAAGCCAACGAGTGCGTGGGTAAGTGGGGCGCCGCGAGGACGTGGGCGGCGGGCGGGCTGACGCTGCGCCCCGGCTGGCCTCGGGCCACAGGTTCCTGCCAGCGGCAGAGGCAGCCTCAGCGAGAGCCGGCCAAGGTGTGGGTTTTGCTGGAGTGGTGAGAGCAGTTGTCCTGGATGTTCTGGACCCGGGAGGGCTGAAAGCCGAGTGTGTCCACTAGCCTTCATGGTGTGGGCAACAGATCCTCAGGTTTTCGTCCTGTGTTCTCCGGAAGCTAAAAAGCGTGAGATGCGGTGCAGGAAGACAGTATTTTGCAGAAAATATAGTCCTTGGATCCAAGGGCAAACATTGGTTGCCTTCTCAGTTCCTCCTTGGCCTCGCCCCTGTAACTGGGCGCTCTTTTGGAGATCCAGGCCAGGTTCCCAGGAAGTTCAGCATCAGAGCCACTGGTCCCTTGGGAGCCAGCAAAAAGGATTCGGAATTTGGGGGTAGTTCGAACGAACGAATATATCACTTCTGTGCCTTCCTTTTGTGTCTTATGGTCTGGGTTATTATTATTTTATTTGTAATTCTGTATAGTGAATTAGTGAAAGAATGAATGTGATTTAAATTAATTTCTATCTATAGATCACAAAGGAGAGTTCAGTAATTACTTTAATTTAATTCTTGTCTCCAAAAAAGAAGTCTACCAGAATTTTGGTTTAAAATCAAGGTTTGGTGAAATGGAACTATTTTTGAATAAAATTAGAGTCCAGCTTCTTTCCCCCCCCCCCTTTTAAAAATGCAATTTCAGTTCCTAAGACAAAAATCTGACAAAACCTGCACTTGTGAATACTATTTCGTCAGAAATGGAACTTTTATTTTTTTTAAAAGGATACTTTCTATCTCTGAATAGTAAAACTTTTTTGCTATTGACAATCTGAGGTATCCGTTTCTACCCAGAAAGAAGCAAAAGTAGGAAGGAAAAAGGTAGCAAGCTCTAGTAGGAGATGTCAGTTTCAAAATCCGGCATTTTATTTTGCTGAAAATCACTTAATCTGTCATTATACCATTTGGCCTGCATCTTTTGTAAATACATGGGATTTTTCCATCCCCTCCCCCAATCGAAAACAGTCTCTTCAATGCTTCACCCTCCCAGGCACATTGCAAAGTTTGCTGGTCCCCACAAACACACACTTTAAGGTCTGGTTCTGATTAATTGTGTCATGTTGTTGTCAAATAGTTTGTGCCTCATGATGGTGGATGCAGACTTTTGAGCAAGTGAATGGAAAACATGTCTTGGAGCTCATCGACACTGAGGCCCGTCAGGCCTGGTCTGCAGAGGGCTGCCCCTCCTGTTGCTGGCCTCCATTTTTTGCAGTCAGTGTGGCCTGCCCTTGCAGATCTAATTGTTCATCCCTTGCGTTAAGGAACAGAAGGATAGCTAGTTTGAAGAGACTTTTCAGGATTCTGCAGTGAGATAGTAGTTATGCCTCCCCAACTCCCATTTTAGTGGTGTTTGAGAATAAAATCCCTTTGATCCTTCAAAACTGTTGGTTTTCCCATTTTTCTTTCCCCCTTTCCTCTTTCTCCTTTTGTACATTAAAAAAAGCCCTTTATTGACATTTAAAGGACCTCCCAGGGTTTTGCTATCAGTTTTAGTTTTTATGTGCCTATGAAAGATAACTCTCCCAGCTTGGTTTAGATGAACAAATGCAAGTGAATATATTGAGTAGAATAAACTTAATATTGTGACTTGATATACTGGCTTGAAGTTTGTCTTGATTTGAGTATTGCTCAAAATTACCACTGCCCTATCTCTCCCTGTGATGTTGGATGTGGAGGCGTATTCTGAATTTGTTATAAAAATGATCATGTAGTTGAGGATTTTTGTCTTTTGACCAAAGTACTAATGGCACAAATTGGTTTGCCTGGACTGGACTTTTTTTAGTCAAATTGAGCAATCAACATATTAACTAATGCAATTAGTTAGTGGGGTTTTTTTTTGTCCAAAAACTTTAATTAGGCCTAATAAGTACATAATCTACATGAGAATTGACTAACAATATTTTCTGGTTTTTACTAAAGTTATTTGAATTCTCAGTAGACAGAGCATCTTTAAATCTTGCCAATTAGTCAGTCATCTCATAAAAGCAAAGCCAATTCAACTATGTAAAAGTTATTTATAGTTTCCTTTTTGAATAGATGTTCTGATACCTTGTAGATATAACTGGGAATGTCAGGTTAAAATTGCCATAATGTCTTAATTGAAGTCTTAGTGACTTTTCCATAATTCCGTAAAAAAGAAAGCCAGCAAAACAATTTAAAACGTGATTTACAATTAAAGGTTGAGCTTTTTATGAAAAGGCTCTGTAGTGGAGATATGTGAATGAATTAGTTTTTGACAGATGTTCAGAGACACTAAGGGGTCCTGGGCTAGGGAAAAGCATCTATAAATCCTTCAAACACTAACTTTTGTACTACGTTGGCTCAGATTTTTTTCCCTCCAACTATAATCCCATCTTGTGAATTTTACACTGTTGGCATATAAAGTCAAGCCTCTCAGATTATTTACAACTAAGACCAAATAAAGAAATAATTACATTTTTTATTCCCCAAATCAATCTTGATCAAAACTGAAACATCACTATTGCTATTGTCTTTGCCTTTATAAAATGAGTTGTAATTTATAATAGACCAAAAATAACTAGTTCCTTTCTAAAGGTCAGTGCCCCTTCTCCCCCCCCAAAAAAAACCCCTTAAAACTTAAATTGCAACTATAAATAGCTGTTGATATTATTTGATAGAATGGTTCTTCTGCATGGGAACAAGGTACTTTTAGATTACAAGAAATGCATGTAATCTATATATTTTCTTTAGTAAAACTCTTTTTTTTGGTGTGACTTCAAGGTTGAGTTCTTTTAATAAAAAATGAACTTTTATAAAAACCCAATTTTATTTTAAATGCAATGTTAGATTTCTCCTGGAAAGAAAAAAATCCTCAAAACAATATGAAAGACAAGACTATGTATAATGTTACAGCCTCGACAGCTCTCAGTGGAATAACTAAATACTTTCTTCCGCCCATATGTATCAGCGATGTTCACATGCTTTTATACACATGTGCATTTATATTCATCGTGTAAAGAAGCATCCATGCATGGTGGGGGTGTGTATATTCAAGGAAAAATGCATGAACAATTTTAAGCCACCTGGGTTGCTAGGCTCTTCCCTTCCTTCTTTTTTTCTTCTCAAAAGACCATCTGAAGACCAGATTGTGTTTCATAAATTATTGACATCAGTTTTAATCAGTGTCCCCCTGACGTCGGAGCTGTGTTAGTATTTAGTGCCTGATGAAGCATGCTGTTTAATCTTACTGTGGGGATGTCAGCATGAACCCCTGCCTGGTTTGTGACAGAGTGAGCTTATAAAAACTTGTTTTGTGACTCATTCAATGGCTTTGCATTGCCCAGCTGAAACCCAAAACCCATACAAAAGATATCTCTGCAAGATGAGCACCATACTGGGCTGGTCTCTGATGGTCATGGGTACCTGCAACATAAAACATAATGCTCATAATTGTTTAAACATGACTTTGAGATTGTGTGTTGGTGGGGGGGGGGGGGGGGGAGGTGGATCCCTGTAGCTGTGGTGCTTGGGTCAAGCTACCATGATCAAGCTACCATTAGAAGAAGAGGGAGATTCTATTGGTGATATTGCCATGAGATGTTGCCTGACTCAAGACTGGCAAAATCAGGAGGCTAAAATTTTTTGCTTTTCAGTCCAGAGTCTGGCACATAACGGTAGGTCAGTGAATATTTTCAGTAGTTCTAGTAATTACTGTCATCATTGTCATTATGATAATTAACCCTTGAGGGTTTATTATTTGTCGAGTACTTTAATTTTAATTTAATCAGTGTAACTATATTAGTAATAGGCACTGTTATTGTCCTTATTTTACAGATGAGGAAACAAACCACAGTCTAGAGACAATAAACGATTTAACCAAAGCCGTATGACGAGTAGTTGGTGGATCTGGGACTCCAGTCTGATGTTTATTCTTTCTTTGTTTTATCTTCCATGATGCTGCCTCCTTAGTCAGTGAATGGGTGGAGAGATGGCATAAATTTGCATATAGGAGAAATAGTGGAAGAATTTCTAATTTCTTGCTAGATCTAGAGGAGGTTAATTGTGTTTTATTGTTATATTAAATTATATTATGTTCATACATCGTTAAACATGAAATTGCCATGATGTGGATGGAGTTTAAGGATATCATTCTCAGTGAAGTCAGTCAGCAGGAAAGGGATAGAGACAGAGTCTCTGTCATATGTGGGACTTAAAGATATACAGCATGGTAGTAACAGGGTCAAAGGCAGCACAAAGAAGAGAGAGAGAACCCACCTACAAAACTGAGTTTATGGAGGATGGGGGAGTTGAAAGGGAGGGGCTGGGATTCTTGGAGGGGGGACACACACTGGTGATGGGCTGGTGTTGAAGTTATGTGCATGGGAAACCATCACTAATAATATTGTAAATCACAGTGCCTCATTCAATAAAAAATAGGAAGTTGTATATAGGAAATTGTTCTATATTTTAGCTATCAGGTGTTGTAGGGGCTGGGAGTTAGGAATACAAGTGAAGATTACTAAGATACTTTATTATTAGGGACCCAGGAGTGACACAGAGGCAAAAGTATCTACCTTAGAACTAGGATGTGTTTCAGTGGCAAAGCACTAGCACCAGTGAGACCTGGATTCAATCCCTGCCACTACCAGAAAAGTAAACAAAGTGTGCCTTGCAAGTTTGAGGTTGTGAATTCAATCTTGGATGCTCAGCTCAGCCCCGAGCATGTGCTGAGCTCAGTCCTGGCATCTCTGATCTGGGATCCCTGGATCCACAAGAGTATATGCAACCTTTGGCACATAGCCAGGTGAGTGCAAGCACCACAGCTAAAAAAATGTGCAAGACCACGTGCAAGAGCATGACCTCTGATGAGCACTATCAGAACGTGTAAGAAAGAATACTACAATTGAAAGAAT